CTCAGCCTCCTGAGTAGCTGGGACTACAGGCGCCTGCCACCGCACCCGGCTAATTTTTTTTTGTTTTGTATTTTTAGTAGAGACGGGGTTTCACCGTGGTCTCGATCTCCTGACCTTGTGATCCGCCCACCTCGGCCTCCCAAAGTGCTGGGATTACAGGCGTGAGCCACTGCGCCCGGCCACTTATATTAAATTTAAATGGACCAGATACACCAATTAAAAGGCAGAGATTATCAGACCAGATTATTTTTTTAAAAAGACCCAACTATAAAACGTCTAAAAGAGACACACTTTAAAGACACAGATAAAGTATAAAAGAATGGGTAAAGATATACCATTCAAACAATAAACATAAGAAAACTGGCTTGACTATATTAGTGTTGGACAGAGTAAACTTCAAGTCAAAAAGTATTAGCAGAGATAAAGAGGAACACCTCATATTGATAAAAGGGGCAATTCATTGAGAAGACATAGCAATCTAGTGAGTTTGTACCTGAAAGCAGAGATTTGTTATATAGGGAGCTAAAACTGATAGAACTAGAGGGGAAAATAGACAAATCCACAAGCATAGTTGGAGATTTTAACACCCCTCTCTAATGATAGAACAATTATATGAAATGTCAATAAAGACACAGCGATCTGAACAATACTATCAACCACAATGAGTTCACTAATATTTATCAGACTGCACTCAGTACTTACAGAGCACAATTCTTTTCCAGTGGACATGGAACATTCATCAAGATAGACCATATACTGTGCCACAAAACAAGCATCAGTGTATCTCAAGAAATTGAAATCCGTTAATATAATGCACCATGTTAATAGATCTAACAAAAAAACATAAGATTAGCTTCATCAATGCTTAAAAAACCTTTAACAAAATTTAACACCCATTTACAACATAAAATAATCAAGAAAATAGAAATTGAGGAGTACTTTTTGAAATGATGTGTATGTGTAAAAGTTTTTAAAAAGCAGATATCTATAGTATCCTACCCATTATGTGAAAAAAGAAGGGGAGATGAGAAAATATGTCTACTCATTTGTGCAAAAGAAATACAGAAAGGATTAACTAGAAACAAACAAGAATGGTTACCTTCAGGGATGGTCAGAAAAGGGGTGGAAAGAAGGGAGGAATGGGAATGAGGGAGGAAGAATGAGAAGGAAGCAGTGCTTCTTTGAATAGATATTTTTTTTAAATTAGCTCTGAGTCTTGGTAATGTTTCACATACCACTCAAAATAAACCATCTTTTTTTCTGTAGTGGAACCCCAAATTGAATATAAATAGTAACAAATGAACTTAACTATACTACAAATGAAAAATGTCACCATGCTGAAGGGAATGGGGAAGGAAAAACTAACCTATGTAACTTTGAGAAACAGCATCTTGACTGGATATTATAAGGCTAAAGACAAAAATAACTGTATTGTGCTCCAATTAGTATAGGGGTAGCAATTCTGCAACTGTTATAAGTGTGTATATTAGGATTGAACAAATAGGTAAATATTTTATAGATAGATTTTTCACTGAGAAAGAAGTTAAAAATAAGGAAAGGACAGATGCTAGAATGTCTTTTATTGGAATTGGAAGTATCAGTATATTAAAACTCATGGTTTTCATCTGTGTACAGATAGATATAGAAATATTCATGTGTATATGCATGGATAAATATACATATATTTCCTATCTTTGTGTGCTGAGAGAGCTTACAAGCAATAATACTCCATAGTTATGAGCACACCTAGGGCTCAGATCTTGGTTTCTAAACACTATTCTTCACTTTAAAACAAAAACAAAAACAAAAACAGGGCTCCTTGGCAAAGCAGTTGATTTCAGAGCTAGGGCAAGACAAGGTGAAGCTAGAACATTTTTGTGATGCCAAAAAATAAGGAAGTGCTCAGAAAAAAAGGATGGAGGCATGTCAAAAAGCCATGGAAATCAACCTGAAGGAACTCCCAATGGTCAATACTGAAATAACTTGAACAGTAAAATAAATAATGATAGTATTGGATTATAACCCATAGAATAAACTACCCAGGAGTCCATACTGACATATATAAATAATTGAATAAATAAATGGTGTGAAAGGACACTATTCCTTGGAGAAGAATTATAATTAATAAATATAGAAGGAATAAGGGAAATACCAAATCACCATTAGGCAAACACCATTGTAATCACGGTTGCAGGCAAGACCCACCAATGGATGCTAAAATCAGTAGGTAAAAGTTGGAGTAGAAACAGGATATTTTCATAATCTCAAAATATTTCCCGCCAAGAGAGTTAACAATTACAAAGAGAAAAAGAGTAACGTGGCCGGGCGCGGTGGCTCAAGCCTGTAATCCCAGCACTTTGGGAGGCCGAGACGGGCGGATCACGAGGTCAGGAGATCGAGACCATCCTGGCTAATGCGGTGAAACCCCGTCTCTACCAAAAAAAATACAAAAAACTAGCCGGGCGAGGTGGCGGGCGCCTGTAGTCCCAGCTACTCGGGAGGCTGAGGCAGGAGAATGGCGCAAACCCATGAGGCGGAGCTTGCAGTGAGCTGAGATCCGGCCACTGCACTCCAACCTGGGCGACAGAGTGAGACTCCAACGTTACAGTGGAGAAACCTAGCAGACAACAGTTTAACCTTAACCTTAAGTGATCAAAGTAAACATCACCAGTAATAATATTGATTGACGTGTACCCCCTGATATAATACACCAGAAAGGACATAACATCACTGCTGTGGTTTTCTAGCCAAAAGATGCACAGCCTCAGCATAAGTCATGAGCAAATATCAGACCAACCCACATCAAGAGACATTCTGCAAAACAACAACCAGAACTCATCAAAAATGTTGATTTTAGAAAAGACCAAAAACAGACTAAGGGACTGCCAAAGACTGGAGAAGACTAAAGAGATACAACCACTAAACGCAATCTGGAGTTCTGGATTAAATGTTGGAACAGAGAAAAGGGGGCAAAAGGAGAAAAACTGGCAGAATATGAATAACATCTGTGGCTTAATGGTATTATACCAATATTAATTTACCAGTTATTAAATATTGAATGTGTTCCCCTAAAATCAGAAACAAAGCAAGGATGTATGCTATCTCTGCCTCTATACCGTATAGCAATGAACTTCCTAGAGAGTGCAATAAGGTAAGAACAATAAAAATAATTAAAGGGAAGAATAAAAATGTTCTTGATAAACATACTGATGGAGCCAAAAATCCTAAGGAACCTACTAAAAAAGTAATAAGTGAACTCAGTGAGGACAAAGGACAAAATAAATAAAATCTATTGTACTTCTTTACATGCTAGCAGGAAACAACTGGAAAGTTTTTACTTCTGCTCTTCACAAGACACCGTTAAGAAAATGAAAAGGCAAGCCACAGACTGGGAGAAAATATTTGTAATAACTCCTCTGATCAAGGATTTACATCCTAAACATATAAAGAACTCTCACAATCAAATAAAAAGGAAACAACCTAATGAAAAAAAGTGGACAAAAAAAATCAAGCCATCACTTCACAAAAGAAGACATATGAACAGACAATAAACATGTGAAGATACTCAACGTCATTAGCTTGTCATTAGCTATCAGGGAAATGCAAATGAAAACTATGATATAATATCTCTCTCCCACTGTAATGACACATCTTAAAAGACTGACAATATCAAGTGTTGGCAAGGATGTGGAGCCACTGGAAATTGGAAACATTGCTGGTAGTACTGTAAAATGGCACAGCTACTTTGAAAATCAGTTTGGAATTTCTTAGAACGTTAAACACGTGATTGCCATATGACCCACCAATTCCATTTCTAGGTAGAATAGGCAAAACTAATCCGAGGATGAAAAAAAAAACTGAATTGATGGTTGCCCAAAGTGAAGATGAGGAACAGAGGCGAAGAGGCAGCAGAGGGGCCCAAGGGGCCAATGGCAGTATTCTATAGCTTGATTGCCATGGCTTGATTGTCATGGTGGTTATCTGGGTATATACATTTTTTAAAACTATTAAACTAGTGTGTAAATTATACCTTAATGAAGCTTCTCTTTAAAGTAAAAACTCATCAGAGTTCATGTCTATTAAGCATTTACCTGCTTCAGTGCTTTCCATTTATTGTGTCATCTCACTGAATTAGCAAAACTACTTTTTTTAGGTAGGACTTTATTATCCCCATTTTTCAACTAAGAAAACAGATTTGAGCCCAGGACACCCGGCTACAGAGCCTGTGCTCTTGACCACTGTGCCACAGGGCTTGACTCTCAGGTATCTGTCTGCTGACATTGATAAAGTTCATCCCGAGGACACGTTAACCCAGCCCTCTTATGTGGAGCAACTAAAACAAGGGAGTGTGGACCTGGAAATGAGAGTGGAAGCCAAAGGAAGAGGCTGCCAGGGTGGAAGAGCATTTCTCCAGCCTGGACCCGACCTACCACAACCACTGGGTGCCTGGTCCTTGCCTCCCCTTGGGCAGACGGAGTCAGAATCGCTGGGTGGGCCTGAGAATCTGCATTTTAACAAGAAACTGCACCTTGCCCCTTGAGAACAGTAGAGACATGTCTAGAGGAAGGTCCATGGATCAGCCCAACCTAGGCTTGAATCTTTACCCTTCCAAGGCCCTTGTTTACCTCTTTCTGCCTCAACTTGCTCATTTGCAAAAGGGGCATCAGAATAGCACCAACCGCCTGGGGTGGCTGGGAAACAAGTGATTTGAGTGAGAGGCAGGCACAGTGCCTGTCGCAGAGGAGGCGCTCAGTAAATGCTGGATTAAACTAGCAATGGTATGAGGGATGGGGCTCCACCCAGTGGCTTTCTCTCTCTCCCTCACTCCAGGCCCTGGCCTGGCCTTTATTGCGTACCCCAAGGCGGTCACCATGATGCCTCTCTCCCCGCTGTGGGCCACCTTGTTCTTCATGATGCTCATCTTCCTAGGCCTGGACAGCCAGGTAAGGGGCCATGGGGAGGGGGAGCCCAGGAGGGAGGGGAACCCGGGCCAGGAGGCCAGACGCCACCCTTAAGAGTGGCTCCCCAGGCCCAACCACTCCCACCTGGCCCTGGCATCAGGGCCCCGCCCACCATCCCCCATTCCACCCTCCTCTTCCCTCCCAGCAACGCTTGCACCCCCCATCCACCAGGTGGGCTCCACACTTACCCACAAATGTCTGTTCCAGCCCCTCTAAGCCTCCCCAAATACTGTTTTCCTTACTGGAATTCCCAACTCTCAATTCATGTTTAGAAAAATTTGCTAAATACTTCCCTTCTGCTCAACCACTCCTGCCAACAGCACTGCCAGGCACAGCAGAAGAGAGTCTCAGAGAGTGAGTCCCACAGCATGCATGTCCCTGTCCCAACCCAGTCACTGAGGACACGGTCACATACAAAAGCACCTCCTCTTCCTTCCTCCGTCTCTGTCCTGGATGCCACCACCAGCTCTGCCCTGCCACCACCTGCCTGCCTCTGTGCTTGGCCCTCCCTAGAGGCCCCTTGCCGACCTGCCTCTGCTTGGCAGCCTCCTTCCCTGGCGAAGGGGATAGACCCGGAGCTAGTAACTCACTCATGCACTCGGTTTCCCTTTGTTGTCACACAGCGGCAGGCGCTCACTTCCCACACTGAGCACACTCCAGCCTCCCATCCCAGGTCCCCGGCCTCTTTCCCAGACTATTCCCCCATCAGTCCCTGAAACCCACCCTTTGCCTGCTACTCCGTGTAGCAGTTTTCCCTAGGAGCCCTGGAGAACTTCCCCCAGCCACAGCCTCCCTGCCTAGGAGACTAGGTCTTGGCCAGCCAGCACTGTGCCGTGCAGGCAGCTCTGCAGGCAAAGCAGTCAGACACCCTGGGCCCCCAGGTGAAGTGGGGAGACACACCCAGCCCAGCCTATGGGAGTGCTGCCCTCACACTTGACCTTGTGCCAGTTGAGTCACTTGGCACCCAAACCCCACAGCCAGTGTGTCTGTCAAGCCAGTCGAGTCCAATTTCTTCCCCTGAACAGTTTCCCAGAGGCTGCTGAGCCAAATCACCGGGTGTTTCTGCTGATAATCTTCCCTTATTGTTGCTGTTGCAGGCAGAGGCCTTGGAGGGATTGACAGCTTATGCGTGACAGGCCAGGCCTGCCTAGCAGAGGGAGGCGGGGGCTGGGGCCTCGGCTGGGCGAGTCCCTGGGCTGAGCTAAGCCAGCACTTGGGCCTGGGGGCCCGAGGTCTGGCACAAAAAGTGGCGGCCACTCTGCCTACCCCCATGCGTGCTGCCCTTGCTGTGTGCCTTGGATACATTCTCAGTTCATTGTCACCATAACCACATGGGCTGCGGGGGGGTCCTTTCATTGCCTCCATTTTATAGAAGAAGAAACTGAGGTTCAGAGATACTGAGTGACTTGCTGGGACGTGCACGCGGGCCGGTCTGCCTCTTGGCCTACACAGTGCAGGTGTCTCGTCAGTTTCAATCCTGGATAAACAACCTCCCTAGCATCCCATCCTCTTCCCTAGAACCTGGAGAAAGGATAGACAGAGCCAGCCCTTGCTGCTGAGGCGGAGCAGCTGCGAGGCCACAGCCTGGGCTTGAGTCCCAGCCCCACGACTTGCGAGCTGTGTGCCTTGGGCTAGTCACCTTGCCACTCTGTGCCTCATTCCCTTTGTCTGCACAAGGAGTGTTGAAACGCCTTTTCTGAGGAGGCAGAGGTAAATCAGAAAGGATTTGGAGCCAACAAATTGCTCCATGGAAGGGGTGCTTCCCAACAAGGTGGCTGGCAAAAGCACCCTTAACTCCTCCTCCCTCCCTCAAGGCAGGGCAGTGGGGTGGGTAAAGCCCAGCTCTGGAGCAAGATCACCTCATTCGAATCCAGGCGTTACCACTTACCACCTGCGTGACCTTGGGTAAATTGTGTACTCCCTCCTCTGTGCTTCTGTGTCTTCATTTACAAAAGGGGGATAATAATAGTGCAGACCATGGAGAGACTACATCAATTAATGCATGCTAACTGCCTAGAACAGAGCCTGGCACGTTGTCGCAGGTATGATGTGTTTGCTATTATCATTACTGTTATTAATGTGGCAAACATTTCCTGAGCCTTTCCCTCCTCTGTGCCAGGGGCCCTGAGCTAGACACAGGAAATAGATAGATGACAATGATGTGGCCCCTGCTCTCCAGGATCCCACATGCTTGTAAGGAGACAGATACAATCAGGCAACGGCCCCCAGGGTGAGGGGTGTACTCAGGACACAGAGGAGAGGGTTGGGCTGTCCTGAGTGGGGGACAAGAGTGATCAGGAAAAAGTTCATGCAGATCTGCCCCCAGTGCCGTGAGAACCAGGTAAGGGGGCGGTTGGTATCTTAGGATATTCAGGCTGGCTGTTAATGGGTGGGTAGGAACTGGGCAGATACCGTGTACCTGGTCCTGTGCTCAGCACGCAAGATACAGATGCTTAGTGGCTCAAACTCAGCCATTGATGCCTGCACCGTTTGGCTGGGGCCCAAAGACACCCAGCAGAGACAAAGAGCTGGAAGTTGGCTCACCTCTGATTGCCCTCCACCCAACAGAGGGGCCTCATCTGCCACAAACAAAGAGCAGGGAAGCATCCCAGCCCCGGAGACCACAGAGACAGACCAGAGCCTGCCGTCAGCAGAGCACGTAGCTCCCACTACAGGCACAGAAACCCCAGCCTTGCCTCAAGGGCAGGGGCTGGTCTCATTTAAGTTGTCGACCCCAGCACAGAGCCCAGCACATAGGCATGTGACAGGCAGCATGCGGGAGAAGGAGGAGTACTAGATTTGGAGTCTGGAGATCCCAGCTCAAGTCCTTACTGCCACATCCTTGCTGAATAATCTTGGGCAGGTCACTCCCCACCTCTGAGCCTCAGCATCCTCATCTGTTAAATGGGCATGACTGGAGCTCCGCTAGTTCTGGGATTACTGTTATCCTCCGGCCCCTCGTCTGCATCAGTGGGTGTGGGAATGAAGGAAGCCCAGGGTTCAGGCCTGCTGCGCTTGCTCAGAGCCTGGGCCCCCAGGAGCAGCCTTTTCCTTGAGTTTCACACCATCGTATCTCCCCGTCCAGTTTGTGTGTGTGGAAAGCCTGGTGACTGCCGTGGTGGACATGTACCCCAAGGTCTTCCGGAGGGGTTACCGGCGGGAGCTGCTCATCCTAGCCTTGTCTGTTATCTCCTATTTTCTGGGCCTCGTGATGTTAACGGAGGTGAGTGGCATGGTTTGTGCTGCACGGGGTGAAGTGGGTGTGTGACGTCAACTCCCAGCTCTGAAAGTGACCAGCTGTGTGACCTGGGTCAGGTCTAGTGCCCTCTGCCACTCGGTTTATGCTTCCTCCTAGCGGGTCATGGTGAGGATCTAATGGAAGTTCTCATCAAGCCCTCAGCACAGTGTCTTCATGTGCAAGTGCTCAGCTAAAGGCCGCTGCTGTTATTCACAGAGGGGAGTCACACTCACCAGGGGAACGCTGGGTTGATCTGTCATGGTGAGCACATGGACGCCTGGGCCATCCCTCAGAATAACTTCCGGGTGAAGCAACAGTGTCAGCTATTAGCCCTGTAACAGTTACCTATGAGTGGTCTCGCGTTCAGAGCAGGCTTTTCTGGGCATCTCTGATGATACTGGCACCTTCGGGCACCGTGTGCTCCAGCCTGGGCCTTCTGTGTGTAGCCCTCTTCTCATTGTCCCTGCTGGGCCTGCAGGTTAGGAGAGGTTCTCCATGACCTCCAAATTAAGACCATCTGATAAAACTGTATTTCTCTCCCCCACCTCCCATAGCCATTCTGTCAAATAAATACCTTCTTATGTATCTTGGGAAGGTAACATTAGGTATTTTTCTCTCCATATGCACAAAATTAATTAATTTAAAAAGAAAAAAATGAACTGTTGCCTAGAAACAAGAAGAGTTTTTGTAAGAAACATGGAAAGAAATGAGGGAACTCAGAATTAGTAAAAGCAGCTGATGTAATATTGAGGTCAGGCTAGAAAGCATTTGGGTTCATGCCACCTTGTTGCATCTACTCATCCCCCCCACTTCCCAACTCATATGCTGCCTCTTCCTGGAAGCCTCCTTAGCGTCCCTTTCCTCATTCATGCCCCCAGCCCCTAGCACTTTGTTTGCAGCTCAGTTCAGTCTCCTCCTCCCCATTACCGTGATCTATGGTCCACCTGTTCACCTGTCTCCCCCACCAGACCTCAGGGGCCGTGAGAACAGGAGCCAGCCCTCATTTGGCTTCATGCCCTCAGAGCCAATTCAGCGCCTGGCACGGGGTGGGTACTCAGTGCACAGTGGCTGGCATCATTACCTCGCCCAGTCATTGTCACATTAATGAGAGTGATAATCAGTGTTGGAGCAAATAAATGGTATGGCGCTTCCCAGTTTCCACCTCACCTCTCCCCACTCAGAGAAACCGGGCAGTGCAGTAAGCAGGGCCTCATTAAGCACTGATTAATTAGAGTCTCTCGTCACAGTCTTGTCACATACAAATTGGGGGGTTAGCCTGATGCGTTAAAGAGGCTAACGGACAGAATTCCAAGAGGAGCAGATGTTGGCACAGGCATCAGCTGCTTGGAGAAGGCAGGTGGTGGAGGGTGCTTCTTGAACCGCCTGCCCCAGGTGCCCCCAGCTCACCGAGTCTCTGATACCCAACCTCTGACTGAGGCCTCACATCTGCCCAAGGGGTGCTTCATGGCCCCTGGAGGCCATCAGGGAGCCAGTGCTGCAGTCACGCAAGACTGTTAGTCAGCAGGCGCTTGGGCCTCCCACGCCAACCGTCCACATCCTCGGAGGACTATCTGTGATCAATTGCACTGGAGAAGTTCAATTGCCAAATGGGCCGTGCTGCCTTGGCCTTCATGGTAATTGCTGGAAGGAACTTTCCCTCACTTACACACATTTAAAGCTCAGCTCTAAGAAAAATAGGCCACAAATGTCTTTTCTTCCACCAAGGCAGTGTGATGAGTGGTTGAGAGTATGGGCTTTGCATCCAGATGACCTGGGTTCAATCCTCAGCCCTTGACTAGCTGGCTGGATGACCTGCAGCAGGTGTTGGTGCTGCTTCGTGCCTCAGTTTCCCCATGTGAACAGTGGAGATAACACTAGTGCCTGCCTTGTAATTGCACTGTGAAGGACCAACTGGATGAAGACACAGGAAGCGGTTAAACACAGCCTGCTGCTTGCTGAATGCTGCATTGAGGTTTCTTTGTTCCTTTGTAAAGTATGATGTTCATGCGAGGGGAGCAACTGGAGGTGGGGGCAGGTCTTAGGTATTAACTCAGAAAGCCAAGCCCCGCACTCCCCAGAGAGGTGCCTCAGACCTGCTCCTGACCCCCACAGACCAGAATATTCGCTGTAGTTGTCATAGCTGGGAGAACCCCGGCCAGACATGGCCCACTCAGAGATCCATTTTGTTTCCCCCTCACTGTGTTTTTTAAAAACACGAAGTTGCCAACAATTATAACAGAAAAATTTCCCATAAAAATCTGTATTTCTGGTGTCTTCCAGAAAATCTGCAGATCTGGCCTCACAGCTGCATTCCCCAGCAACTGCCCTCCAGAGGTGTGTAGCTAGATGGGGCCCGTACTCTCCAGTTAGCCACGGTCCCCACCACTCCCTGGTACCACACCCAGCCCCCTTTTCTCAGTCGTATCATCTGTCTGGCCTTGTGGGCATTGAGATATTTCTCCCTGTCTAGTTGAAGACATGAACGAGTCCCATGGTGTGTGGTCTGTGAGTGACAGGAGGAAGCAGGCCCAGGGCACCCTGGGAGCACAGAGGGGAAGCAGAACTCCAAGGAAGTCCCCATGGAAGACACACGGGAGGCTCTCCAGGTTTCATTCCAGCCCCCTAATGCACTGTCCTGGTATTCAGACTATCCCACCCCACCCGATCCTTCCTAGCTCTTTGACACTTTCATTTCCCCTGAGTTTGATTGCATCCCCTAAGGACCCTCATTGTATTGTAAAGATTTTATTTAGAGACCCCCGCTCTCCCTACATCTGCAGCTGGTGTCCTTTCCCCCCTCCTCCCTCCTAGAAAACCTTCCCAGACTACCTTGGTCAGCTGAGCTCACACATTCTAGGTCATCGCTAAACTCAATCGTCACGGATTTGTATGCTACAGAGCTGGCCTGTGGTCATTTCTTCATCCCGTGAAGATGGACCACATACCGCCTGGGTGCCAAGCCCTGGGCCAGAAACTGGGACCCAACCCTGGACAAAGCCAGCTGGACTCCCCCACCCATGGAGATCACACTCCACAGGATTTAACTTACATTTATCACCCCCTACTGTGCACCAGCCCCGCTCCCCTCCTTTTTTAGTTGAGTCCACAAAACATGCTGTGAAGGCCCAAAGAAAGAATGAGGCCGTCAGAAAGGGCTTCCTGAAAGAGGTGGCATTTGATCTGAGCTTTGAAGGAACTTAGCAGGTGAAAGGGAATAGCATGTGTAGAGGCACGAAGGTGAGGGTGTCCCTTGGTCTGTCCAGGAGGGGCTGTGGGAAGGGAGATGAGGCCAGTAAGGAGGGCAGCAGCCCTAACTGGCAGGCTGAAAGGAGCCAAAGGGTGACTTTAAACTGCCACGTGTTTGGTTGGATTTGCACGTTTCAGAGAAAGGTTCCTCCGAAAGCTGGCATGTAGACGGATTGGAGAGGGTGAGGCTGGAGGCAGGGAGGCCAGTCAGGAGGCTGTTATAGCCATCCAGGTAGGGGTGCTGAGCCTCCCCCATCTCGATTTTCTGTGTAGTCTCTGGCCCTTGAGGAGCTGGGAAGTGAGGGGCTGAGATAAGACAAACCATCTGCAGTCCCAGCAGCCCGCAAAGGACAGGAAATTAGGGGGCACCCAGATGGGAGGGTACAATTTTCAAACTGGGGAGACTAGGGAGAAACTGATTCCTGGCAGTGGTAGCCACAGAGCAGAGAGAGGGACCTTCCTGAGGCCAGCTGGCTGACCCTGCTCTCCCGTCTGTCCATTCACCTCCCATCCGTCTGTGTGTCTGTCCCCCGACCTACAGGGTGGCATGTACATCTTCCAGCTCTTTGACTCCTATGCTGCCAGTGGGATGTGCCTTCTCTTCGTGGCCATCTTTGAGTGCATCTGCATTGGCTGGGTGTATGGTGAGTAGCAGCCAAGCCCGTCCACACCCCAGCTGCCCACCAGGTGCCCAGGATCCTGGTGCTTGGACTCTGGTGGGCTCTGGTTCTCTGTGGCTTGTCTTGGTCTATACTGGCCTCTTCTTTCTCTTCAGGGATTCCTTGGCCCTTTCCCACTGTTGGGAGGCCTCCTGCTTTCACACCCTGCAGCACAGGAAGGGGTTCAGGGCTCAGGCACTATGATCTTGGGCCAGTTCTTCTGCCCTTGAGACTCAGTTTTCCCCTTTGTAAACTAACAATAGTCATCAACATGTCTCCAAGTAGGAGAAAGTGTAGTCGAGCAGCAGCCTGCATGGTGCCTGGCCTTCCATAGACAACCACCTCAGGTCCTCCTGCTCCCCAAGCCCAACAAGTGGGTGAGGGTTGCTGGGCTCAGTGATGGTCACTCCTGCCATGAGTGTGGTTTGGGAATGGATGCCTCTGCAGGCCTCTGCTCTGCAGCAGCCCTGCCAGGCCCCTGCCTTCGAAATCCTTATCCCCTTTTCAGGCTGCCTTGCAAAGCTGCACCCATGGGCACAGGCTCCGGCCTTGGCCAGGGAGCAGCCTCATTGCGATCCCAGTGCTGCCGTGTGACCAGGAGCACACCACTTCCCTTCTCACACCATCCCCGGCCGGGCGCAGTGGCTCACGCCTGTAGTCCTAGCACTTTGGGAGGCCGAGGTGGGCGGATCATGGGGTCAGGAGATGGAGACCATCCTGGCTAACATGGTGAAACCCCATCTCTACTAAAAATACAAAAAATTAGCCAGGCGTGGTGGCGGGCACTTGTAGTCCCAGCTACTCGGGAGGCTGAGGCAGGAGAATGGCGTGAACCCGGGAGGTGGAGCTGGCAATGAGCCGAGATCGTGCCACTGTGCTCCAGCCTGGGCGACAGAGTGAGACTCCGTCTCAAAAAAAAAAAAAAAAGAAAGAAAGAAATCCTCATCCCCACCCCTGATTGCCTTGTCTCCAAAGGGATCACCTTCCACCTTTCTCCCAGCAACTCATCATTTCCTGGGCCTGAGGCCAGGAGAGCTGTCTCCAGTAGTGGGCCAGCATCCCTCCTGCTGCTTTTTATTCTGAAACCTCACACATGTAACATCCTGGTCGTTATTTCAGCAATACAAAGGTTCCTGCGGCAGTTTTTCTGTCTCAGGCTGGAGAACGCAAACACTCCTAGCCATTCCCCTGACTCATGTACAAAACTTCTCTGGGGTGTGTATGTGCCCATCTGATTTATTCCGGACAGGAAGCAACCGGTTCTATGATAACATTGAAGACATGATTGGCTACCGGCCACCGTCGCTCATTAAGTGGTGCTGGAAGATCGTGACCCCTGGGATCTGTGCGGTAAGGGCCCCGCCAGGAGCCACCTCCAGCCATCTACCCACCCACCTACCCCCCAACCCACGTTTCCACTCCGCAGCCCCCAGCCTGGCCGAAGCTGGACCTGAGGAAGTTGATGTCCCCTGGTTCAGGTTGCCTTGCAAAGCCGCACCCATGGGCACAGGCTCTGGGCTTGGCCAGGGAGCAGCCTCATTGGGATCCCAGTGCTGCCGTGTGACCAGGAGCACACCGCTCCCTTCTCAGGACCTCAGGTTCTGCATAGGCAAATCAGGCACTGGATCTGCCTTGGAGGGCTGAGGACTATGTGGGGAACAAAGACCTGTCCCCGTCTTGCTGTTAACCATGAAGGCAGCAGAGCTGAAGGTGACATTGGGGCTCATGCTCTGCCCAAGACCGGACCACAGCAGGGCCTTTCTGAGCAGACATTTAATTTAAAAACGCCCAATCACTCATCCCTTTATTGGCACTGGATGTAACTCAGCATCTTCACAGACCTTGGTAGTTCTGAGAAGCAACTTTGAAACCAGTCTCAAGGAGTAACTAGAAAAAATAAAAATTTCTAACTGGGCAGAGGCTGGGGAAGAGGCTCCTGGGGGTGGGGAGAGGTTCTCACAGCCCAGCGAGGTCCCAGAACCCAGGGCCGAGTTCCCTGAGCATCTGTTGCCTGTGGGATGGGGCTCTAGCCTGCTGTGCCTCAAGCTCACTGTGGTCCTGGCAGGGCCTCACCTTTCACGGCTGTGAAATGGGGCCAGCCTCCTCCCCTGCCAGCCTCCTGCTGGTCTGCCTGGGCCCGAGACCCCTCATGGCCTAGCAGGGCTGAGGGCCCATCCCCCAGGCACCTGCCCCCATCTCTCTGCAGGGGATCTTCATCTTCTTCTTGGTCAAGTACAAGCCACTCAAGTACAACAACGTCTACACCTACCCAGCCTGGGGCTATGGCATTGGCTGGCTCATGGCCCTGTCCTCCATGCTCTGCATCCCGCTCTGGATCTGCATCAAGGTGTGGAAGACACAGGGGACACTGCCCGAGGTGAGACTGCCCCAGGAGGGCTGGTGCATGTGGGCAGGGTTCGCACCTTGGGTCCCAGTTCACTCATCTGCACGGTGCGCGATGACCATGCGCCCATCTGCCTCGGCGGGCGCTGTGGCAAACTCCTCTCTGGCCAATGCTTATCAGCATGGTTGTGCCCAAGGTGTCTCTGTGAGGTCTTTTGGCTGAGCCAGTTTCTAGGAGCCAAGCCTCTGTCTTCCTGTCTGTAAAATGGGATAACCGCAGTACCTAACTTATAGAGGCTGTGAGAACTCACTGAGTTCATATAGGAAAAGCCCTGGGATCCTGTCCTGGACCAGAGGGTAACAAGTGTTAGCACTGACTGTTCTGTGAATCCCAATCATTCTGACGTGTCACCCTGCCAGGCTGTCTACCTGCTGTATCTCCTGCCATCCTCAGAGCAAACTGGGGCGATAGGCATCGTTTTCTGTAGTTAGCAGGTAGAGGAAACAGGTTCAGAGAAATCAGGTCACTTGCCTGAGGTTACACAGCCAACAGTTAGCAGATCACATTGTTAAAGACAATTTCATCAAAGTAGATTTTAGATATCCTAAAATTAACCCATTTCAGCTATACGATTAAACAATTTTTAGTAATGTTCCACAATGTGCAGTCATTGTCATGAATCCATTTTAGAATACTTCCATCATCCTAATAAGAGTCCTCATGTGCATTCACCGTTAACCCTTGTTCCACCCCCAGACAACCACAGATCGACTCAGTCTCTGTGGATTTGCCTACCCTGGATGTTTCCTGTCACAGTGTGTGGTCCTTTGTCAGCAACTGAATCGTTACCGAGCCCATCTTACTCCAGAGCGGCACTCCCTATTCACTCTCCTTCCCTACCGCTGACAGCGGTTTGAGTGGGTTTCTGCTTATTTAGTATACAGCACAGGGTGTTTGTTGTGGGCCAGACGCTGTTCTAAGCAGTTTACAAATACTAAGTCATTTAATCCGCATAGCAGTCCTGGGGAGTGGAGATTCTTTTTGTCTCCATGGATGAGGAAACTGAAGTACTGAGAAGTGAAGCAACTTGCCCAAGGGCACACAGCTTCTGAAGGATACAGCAGAGACTCTGACATGTGTGATCCTGTCCCCTGAGTTTTGCTGCCTCACCTTCTTCTGCTGGACCGGTTGCACTCTACTGTGTGGCCCTGTCTCTGCCCCAAGGCCACACCCCAGGGACTGCAGGAGTTGAACTTGGCCACCCGGGAGGCGATGGAGAGTGGGGGTATGCACAGCCAGAATGCAAGCTCCAGCTCAGAGTCAGCTACACCCAACCCACCTGCCTGCCCACTGAGGGGCCCGGGCTCCAGAAATAGCCATGCATCCAGCCAGAAGGAGCCAGCCACTAAGGAAGGTCTCTTTCTCAAGCTTGCTCATGCCCCAGAGCAAGTCAGGCTCCTTGGCGCCTGTAGGTTGAGGGCAGTTGGTTAATTCTGATCTCAGGCCAAACATGTCCAGAGGGGACCTGACCTGGGGCCTTAAAACCTTGACCACTGGAAGGCCCCTGCCCAAACTTCCAGATGATTTTTTGGTGTTCAGAAATGCCTGGTGTTGCCTGCTAAATCCTCTAGAGATCATCTCAGGCCTGGTGTGCGGGGGAAAGCAGGGGAGGGAGCGTTCTTTCCTAAGCCCCCTCCATCTCCCTCAGCTCACACACCTGCCAACGTGGACAGCAGGGTTTATTAAAGAGGGAATTCTTTGGAGGTGTCAGACCCAGTTTCCAGGTCTTCCTCACTAAGAGTCCTTGTGCCAGGTAGTCCACCACCCTGAGCCTCAGTTCCCACAAAGCTGCTGCTGGGGGATGGGAGGGATCTAGAGGGGAAAATGAGGATAGAGGTGCCTCAGAGAGGTGCTCTGAGGATGCATCTTACTGAATGGAAGGTAACATGGTGACCACTCAACTAATCTGATCCTTATACTAACCCCGGAAGGCAGGTACCATTATTATCCCCCTTTACAGATGGGGAAACTGAGGGACAGGGGGTTAAGCTTCTTGCCCTTGTTAAATGGTAGAGCTAGAACACAAACCCAAGCGCCTGGCTTTGGAACCCATGCTGTAGCCCCAGATCTGTGCCAGAGTCTGAAAGAGAAGACAGAGCCTTGATCCTGAGAAACCAGCCACCCAAAAGGCTTTGCAGCCTTCCTTGGGAAAGGGTTTATGCCCAGAAAGCACCCCCTAAATCCTAGCCTGGAGTCTTCTCCCAGGAAACCTGGGGAGTGCAGATGAAACGGAGGGATAGGGGCCTGAGGCAGGGCCACATCTGGTCTGAGGGGCAGGGCTGTGGAACAGGAGTCTGCATCCATCAGAGCTAGCCAGCTGGTGCTGGCTGCTTTGCAAGGCGGCCTGAGGCTGTGAGCCTTGGGCTTTGTGTTAATGCTCCTACCTTTGAGCACAGCTGGAGGAACACCCAACACACGCTACACCTTCCCCACATGATGGCACCCCTTCCATGGGAAACGCACCCAGGTATCCAGCAATTGTCCTGTAAACAGCCCTGGAGATGCATTCCCACCCAGTGATTCACACCCCAGCTTCTCACTGTCCCCCAAGGGCAGGCACGAGGCAGGGACCCTGATGACAGCTCTGAGTCCCAGCCACCTTTCCTAGCCAGGTGTGAGGCTAAGTACTTTCCATAGCCTCTCCTTACTCTTGACCTAATGCCAGAAGTAGGGACCTCTACGGTCCCCATTTTCCAGAGGAGGAAACTGAGACCCAGAGAGGTTGTTCGTCATCGAGGACAGAGCCGTAAGAGGCCAAGCTGGGGCCCGGACCTTAGTCTGAGAATTCTCCAGCACCCAGGTGTCCCCTGTGTACTTGGGAGAGGCCAAGGCAGACCCTGGACCCTGGCAGCTAATCACTCAGATCTTTCCCTCCTCTCCAACCATCCAGAAACTTCAGAAGTTGACGACCCCCAGCACAGATCTGAAAATGCGGGGCAAGCTTGGGGTGAGCCCACGGATGGTGACAGTTAATGACTGTGATGCCAAACTCAAGAGCGACGGGACCATTGCAGCCATCACAGAGAAGGAGACGCACTTCTGAGCGGCCGCCAGCCACCTGGGGCTCTTCTTCCTTTCTTCCCCCCATGTCTGTAAATGAATTCCTGAACCCCATGCTTCACCTAATGGTAGGGGCTTGCTTGTTTTGCACAGGATTTATTAACAAGTTAATTTTAAGGTGGCCACTGTACACTGCTCTAAAGTCATATCCCCTCCCCGCCCCCAGTCATCATGGAAGTAACCACTACAAAGAGATAACACTGTACAGTGACTGCCAGATCTTCTGTCCTAGGGCAGTTTTAATCAATGTTTTCTAGGGATTAAGAAGAAGTGTATAATATTGTAAAACTTTTTTTACTGGGGTCGTGGGCCAGGTGGGGTGGGGAGTGATGGCTGTCCTCCTCTGTCAGCCTTTTAATGACTGTTCTGTGTCCCATGTTTGTCTCTGACCATCTACAGCCGCCCCTCCTCCATACCCCAGGGTATGGCCCCAAGCTGGGGCCCTGCTTGTGTTTATCCTCGGCTGCTGTCTTCCCAGTAGCTTTCCTTTAAACTTTCCCTTTCCAAGGGACACTGGGTTTGCAGACAGCAAGGCTATGTGGCAGAGAAGAAAAGGTTCAGCAGACTCAGGACTCCTGGGCTGGAGACCCCCCTCTGCCCTGATCCCATGAAGTGACCTTGGGCACTCCCTTTCCCTCCCTGGGCCTCAGTTTCCCCATCTCCCAAATGGGAGGAGGAGCCGGATTGGGTTATCTCTTAGGGATTCTCTTTGTGTGCCTTGCTGGCTCGCAGACCTGCCATGGACCTTGGCTTCCTCTGAAGACTTGCAGGCAATAATCTCTGCCCTCCCAGTTGTACCTCCTCCCCACCTGCTTATTTAAAATCAAGTTTATTGTAGAAATGGTGTGGTGTTGATGTGTGTTTTCCCTAAAACTCTAATTTCATCTCATCTGTGGGTAGCCCTGCTCTCTGGACACCAGTGGGTCCTCAGCCCCCATGGCGGGGGCTCCTCTGTCTGGCCTGCCATTTTTTCCTGGTCAGCTGCTCTTAGCCCCGGCTCTGCCTCTCCACCCTTGGCAGGGCTGGCTGGAGTTGCCTTGGGGACTGATTTTCTGGGTGGGGAAGCAGCCATCTATTCTTGCAGCCACCCCAGCCAGGATCTATGTCTTAGGACCTTCCTCCGGCCTTCCATGAGAAGGAGCCACAGTGGGGCCTGGTTTCCTCCTAAGGCCCTTCTCTATCCCAGGCCACCTCTTCTCCCTCCTCTTGTCCCCTAACGTCTGCCTACCACCATCCTCCCTCTCAGTTCTCTCCCATCCTTGCCCCTGGTTCAGGAGCCATTCTACCTGCTCCTGTGGCCAGGCGCAAGGCTACAGGTGCAGTCACCTGTTCCCTGCCACCTTCCCTCCCTTCTTTGGCAGAGAGAAGTGTCAGCTCTCACTGGAGGGAAGACCTGGGCATCCCGCTGGCTCCTCCCTCCATGGGACCTGGAGTCTGGCACTGCTCCCCAGCCAGCCTGGCTGCAGAACTCTCTGGCTGATACCGTTCTTCTTTTTTAATTGGACTTCATATCAAGCCTCTACCTTGGTTTCTGAGCTATATGAGGGTGGGGAAGGCACCCTCTTTCTTCTTTCTGTAGGTTCCCAATACTGTTCGGTGGAAATGTGGGCTTTCTCTAAACCAAGGCTTTAGTTTCCTGTAAGGGTCCTCTGTGTTTGATTCACCCAAAAGTCTGCAAACCCCCAGCATCTCTGCTCTGGCCAGCCCCGATCTGAAGCCTGTGTCTGCTAAGAGAGATGCCCAGTGCCCCACTGGGCAGGACAGGAAGCCTAGCCTGGGCCCCCTCTGCACACAGCTCAGGCCTGCCCAACTTCTTATGGGCAAGCTACCATCCCACTCTCGTCTCCCTGAGCTGTCTGGTTCTGCAGACCCAGGAAGGGCCAGGCTGGGGCCCTGCTTGTGTTTATCCTCGGCTGCTGTCTTCGCAGTAGGCCCCGGGCAAGGAGGCTTCCCACTGCTGCTGCTACAGGTTCTCTACACCAACTCTCATGGATGCACAGATCCCTGTGGTCCGCCTTCGCCGACACACACATATCGTACATGTGGCTGTTAACACTTGACTCACTTAACACTACTCATGGGGCAGGGCGGAGGGTGGATTGTTGTTTTTTGTTTTTTGTAATTTCCTACTAGTATTTGGGTAACTTTGGGGGCGGGGAGGGCAATGTTGGGGCAGGCGAACATGTCATTGTGATGACTTTTTTGATATTCATTAGAAACAATACATCCTTTCTGAGATATTTACGATATTATTAAAAAATGAAAAGGGTTGTACTGTTTTGCATAATGAACATTTTTATTGGGCATTCAAAGGGTACAAGATTGTCTGCTTACTCATTTTTAAAAATTAAAGAAATGAACACTCAATGTGGCTATTCCTAGCAAGGTGGTATTCGTTGGGTTTTTTGTCCTGTTTTTATTCCCTCCATGATATGCCTGCAAAACCCTCCTGGATCCCCGTGTGGAAGCTGCAGTCTCAACTCAGCACTACAGATTAGAAACAAAGGCAGTGGTGTTTTAGGAGCCCAGACTTCTTCATGTTCTTGTATTTACCATTTGCCTAGTATGTGCTAGATGCTTTACAGAAGTTGTCTTTTTAATCCTTACAACAACTCTGTAAAATAGGTACTTCTCCACTTTATTTATGTCTTGCTTTATTTATTACTTCCCCTATTTTACAGATAGCCATCTATTCTTGTAGCCACCCCAGCCAGGATCTATGTTTTAAGACCTTCCTCCAGCCTCCCATGAGGAGGAGCCACAGTGGGGCCTGGTTTTCTCCTAAGGCCCTTCTCTCCCCAGCCACCTCTTCTCCCTCCTCCTTACAGTTAGGGGATTTTGAGGCACAGAAAAGTCAAGCAATTTGCCCGCAGTCACACAGCTAGTAAACATCAGGACCAGAAAGAGAACTCAGGTGTGTCTAACCCAAAGGCCCTTTCTCCTGACCACAGTGCCTTATTGTGTCTCATGCTGTGAGGCCTAAAGAAAGCAGCAGCTCCCTCACAGTGGTGAAAATAGCTGCCACAAAACTTATGCTTGTGTCCTAGTAGGCAGACACTCATGTTTGAGGCATGCAAGGCAGAACACAGAGAGATGAGAATTTGGAGTATGTACCCCTGGGTTAGGCTCCAGGATCTGCCCTTGCCAGCCTCAGTTTTCTCATCTCTAAAATGGGGATAATAGCTCCTGTTTCAAATGCAGGGTGATTATGAAGATCCCATGAGCGCTGTATGTGAATGATGAGGTTCTGAATTCACACTAGTTATTATTCTGAATAAATAATGCCTAAGCTCAAAAAGTGTTTGTAGTATTGCCTAGAACTTAGACTAAAGTCTCTAAATTTGTGTCTGAGATTTCTAAATGGCCACTCGAGACCACAGGCTTGTTTTGTCCTGCCAGCTCATGACAGTAAGATCATCTTATGCAGTGTCTACTCATTCCTGTCTGGTCAACCTTTTTGCTTGAAATCACTGATCTCAAGTCTACCTGACCCTGTCTTGGCCTTTCATCCTCTCTGAGGTGGTAATATCTGCTCATAGGAAAGCATCCCACAGAGTTCTGGAATTCAGAAAGTCTCTGTGATCCACAGCCGGGGTCCCTAAGTAATTCCTGCCCTCACAGAGCCACAGGGATTGCTGCAGTCACCTGTTCCCTGCCATCTTCCCTCCTCATGTCTGAAAGTGTCTTGCATGAAGCAGCTGTCATATGCAAGAGGAGGCTGGGTTACAGAAAGATGAGTCTCACTCATTCCCAGGAAACTTCATTTGCAGACTCTTGAGCCTATAGAATTAATAGCATGAAGAATTAATTGACGCACTAGACCCCTCCAGGCTGCAGTGTGTGCTAGTGACCCCTGCTGGCCAAGTGGGACTCTGCAGGCTGGCTCTACTAGACACTGCAAATAACCAGAGAAGGGGAAGGGAGCTTTGGAAGTGAAGTCCAGGCTACCTCAGGCCTAACAGCATTTCCCATGGAGTGGGGGGCAGATCAGGCACCAAAGAGCAGACATATTCTGCTGAAAGTGGCCAACTTTGGAAAATTGAGTCCTTTCATGCATTCAGCAGCCCTTTACTGAGCAGCCACCATATTCTTTGTGTGCACCTAGGACTAGTGTTATTATGACAAGTGAAACAGCCCCTTCCCTTGAGTGTTCCTACTGTTAGGAGGAGAGGTGTCCATACCCTTCTGGACAGGGGTAAGTTCACAGGGAGATGCTGTTCTGATTCTGACCTCCTATTCCTAGCCGTCTTCCAGCCAGTTAAGAGTTCTTCGGTGTGGCACTGAGCAAGTCTGCCCACTCCTTGGACCTCAGTTAGCCACTGGTAGAATGGCAAAGAAATGAGACCCAGAGCGGGAATGTGATTTGCCCAAGATTCCCCTAGAACTCTGTATTCCCATCTCATAATCAGTCCCCTGCACCATCTCAAGCTGTTAAAAAGCAAATGAGCTTGGGGCCCTCATTACCCATTAGGGATAAAAGTCAGCCTTTGTTGCCAACTCTGGCCACTTCTCTCTCATTTTTAAATAATGCCCACTTTGTGAGGGATACTGGAAAGAGTAACACATGCAGCATTCTCTGAGCGTCCAGGGTGGCTCAAGTGTCAGAGCCACTTCACAGGAAACCACATGGCAGGATGTGCCATGGACCGAGTGCTGGAGGAGTACTGCAGGCAGGAATAAGAACTGTTTATGGAGCACCTGCTGTGTTCCAGGGTCATGTCTGCGTTACCTCATCACAGCCTCACAACAAATCTAAGAAGTGAGTGTCATTAATCCCATTTTTCATATGAGGAAACTAGAGTTCAAAACTGTAAATAATTTGCCCTAAGAGATACAAATTATACCTCCTGGCAAGTGGAGGAGCTGGGCTTGGATCCAGGTTTGCTGGATCTAAATAAAGCCCATGTACCCAGCCACTTAACCAAGGATGTGGGACTTGAGTTGCACCATGGGGGATGGTAAGATTTAGGCAGAGAAGGACATTTGAGATGAGGGAACATCCCGAGTGATGACAGAGGCTTTGGGAGAGCAGGGAACCAGTGTACTCCCCATTCACTGCAGCCTCCACTTTCTGGGCTCAGGTAATACTCCCACCTCAGCCTCCTGAGTAGCTGGGACATGCCCAATTTTTTTTTTTTGCAGAGACAGGGTTTCACCCCAGTCTACTTTCTATAACCCTTCATGTATCTTCACCAATCTCTCTGGCAGAGTAAGATCAGGTAACAC